GGCCCCGCTCCGCGCCGGGCCCCAGGGCACCGCCGCGGGTGCTGCGTCCTCCGCGAGCGCCGGCGAGGGCCGAGCGGGAGGGATTAGCGGGATCCTCCATCGCGTGCGTTGCGTGACTTTGTTTCCCTTCCTGACAGATGGCAAGGGGTGGCCAGCAACGGATAATCCAATTAACTGGATTTAAAAAGCAAGAGAAAAGGGGCCTGCTTGAATTACTGCGCAAACTGGACTGTGCTGTGCTTGACACCAAGGTACTGCTTGATCCAAGCCAGTGAGGGAAAGCAGGAGGGAAAAAAGGCAGTGTGGAACCTTAGGCTGGTGCATTAGCAGCCAAGAAAAGTTAATGTTTCCAATGGTAAAAGTGTGTAATAAAAGTGTGTTCTGTTTTCCTTTCTTTTTTGGTAGAAATACAGACACTGTACGCATCTGATAGCAAAACAGTTTTGCAAGAGTGAAAAGTTTTTAGCTGCCTGTGCTGCAGGTGAGTAAAAGATGTTCTGTAAAATGTCATTGAATCACAGCATGATGATAGGAAAGCACCCTGAAGAGTCTTCTAAGTTCTTGTTTTCATTTCATGATCAGGCTGTTTTACCATCACTTATTCTCGCTCCGCCAGCCTGGATTATTAGCAAAGCACTACATTCAAATTTTGATTTACTTTGTTTTTGTGTGTGTGTTTGCGTGCGTTACTCCTAAGTAATGTTCATGTCATCATCTTGTATCTGTTCTGAACTGGCTCCCAAACAAACACCATTGTTACCTATTGTTTACATTATAAAATCATTTTCCAAATGATTTAAGTACTTAGAATTTGTACGTGCATTTGTATACTACAGAGTTAGGCATTTTCAGTTATAGCTATTAGAATTTGGAGATAAATGGATGACTTCTTGTGCCCGATTAACTGTCATCAGAAAGTAAATAGAGTAAAATCTTACATGAGATAACACACTTTAGAAATAAAATTTGTAATACTGAGTTAACATATTTGGAGAGATTTAAAACATCTGAAGATGTTTTCTTTGAGTGGAAATAATATACGTATTATCAACTTGACAATATGAAATTCTGCCATGTTTCAGTATTCATAAATAATCCTCAATACCAGCTGGCAGTAGTCAATTCTGGAACTATTTTTTATGTAATTGTCTTGTTGGTGGAGAGAGAGTGTTCATTCCTAGTGCAGTTTTTCCCAAGTAGTATAACCATTTGTCTTTAAACTCCTTTAGTACTCTCCAAAAATGAACATAAACACTACTAAAAACATTGACCTTCATGGACTTCCTAGCTCACTTACTTTTTGAAATTGAACTCTTGAAATTAAAGTGGTTTTAACATGTAGGTTGTATGCAGCATGCCTTTTCCAGTCATAAATCCACTGGTACCTATGCTAGATTATGTAGAAATACCATCTGTGCTCCTTTTCTGAGACATTTTGCCAGTCAACCGTGCTGTTCCTGTGAAACCAATTAGGTTTACACAATTTCAGTCAATTTCTCTTGCAGTATCCTCTGTAGGTAGAGTTTAAATACAGGAGCAGGGTACTAACCACAGCCCTTGACCTGAATCTGAAAGAAGAGAGAGACAGTGTGAAAAAGGAGAAGATCATTACAGAGAGTATCAAAAGCAGACTTGCAGAAGAAGAAAGAAGAGAGGCGGAGAAGGTGGAGCCAAGGGAGGAGAGAAAAGGATGTGAAAAGAAGAAAGGGGAGAGAGAAAAGTCTAAAACCATATCCTCCCAATACTGGCATTGGCCTTGCTTACAATTCTAGTAGCATTAAATATATGTAAAGGAAAGAAATTCATTCTTCCTTTTAATCATATTTAATTTGTTACTTCAGTTTACTAAAACTGAAACCTTTGCAAAAAAGCTAAAGTGATTTGGCAGCCTTATTGTATGTTATATAAGTACGTCAAGTGTTCTTCAGATCTGTTCTAGTACATTTGTAAGAGTGTCAAATGGTATTAAAAGTAAAATGTTAAGCAAGATTCTATGCAAGTCACAATAATAAGATCTGGGAAGCTGCAAATTTCCATTTGCAGGTTTTTGAGAAGACAGGCAAGTATTTAATCTGGAAAGGGTAAAAAGGTACTTCGTCATTAAAAGAAAACAAGACGATCGTTTTCAGTGGCATTGTGATTTCTGATTTTAAAATGTGAAAAGGAGACCTCTTGCAGTACGAAGGAGTTTTTAAAATGATACTTACAATTCCAGTTTTTATTTGCACAGGAAAGGTTGAAGTTAATTTTATATTAGATCTTCAGTTGATTGCCATTTGTCTACACAAAAAATCTTCTGTGGCTGACAGTTCATTTGCTTTTTAGGAAAGTGGATACTAACTAAGGAGTACATAATTAATAGTGCTGAGAGTGGCAGATGGCTTGATGAAACAACGTATGAATGGGGATATAAAATTGAAAAAGACACCCATTATTCACCTCAAATGCAATCTGCACCTAAAAGATGGCGCGAAGAACTGACACACACTAGTGCTCCAGGGGCCTTCCACAGATGGAAAGTTGTCCTCCTTGTTAAGGAAGGTGATAAACGAAGGGATTCTATTAAAAGGTAGGAGAATATGGCTTAAAGCTGAGGCAATGAAAAAAAAAAAAAGGCTTAATTGAAGAAGTTTCTGCTTTTCCATCCTGATTAATTTGATCCGTAACAACCTCAGGTCTTCAATATATGAATTGTTTTAATTTGTATACTTTCACACATTTTTATAATAGTCACACTCTTATATGCATACTTATTTCTTTAAATCTTTAAAACTACTGCTTTTTTTTTAGCTTGCTTTCAGTGTTTGCTTGTGTCAAATATAACACACATAGTCATTTATTTGCATCTTTGGTAAATTGCATATGGAGACTTTCTTCATGAGACAAGGCTTATGCTTTTTATGAATATTCTTTTGTTTTGCCCAATTATTACATGCAAATAGAAACCAGAACAGGATACATTATTTTGCTTCAGTGGGTGACCTGAGCCACCCATGAACTTTGTCTTGCTAATCCTTTCCATACTCTGACTAGCCTGGTCTTCCTGTGCCACATCTGTGCAACAGCTCCCTAGTTCTGAAGCCCTAATTTGTACTATGAAAAATCTTTGCATGTGATGTAAATATAGCTAGTTCAGAAGGGATAAAGGAATATCTGGGGAAAGGAAAACAACAGGAAATGCAAGAGTCTGGGGACTAAATTTATTTTTTCCATACTCCTGGCACACCGGATTCTCTGAGTTAAGTACTACATTGAATCACAAGCAATGTGTTATGTAAAGTTTGTACCTGAAACAGAGCTATCCATTACAAGATATTGTTGCTTATTACAGGAAAAGATATTATCCACCTCTCCTCCTCAGCTGAAAACCCAGCTGCCTGGGAGCACTTCTCAGGTCTGGGGGAGTGCACATCTCTACTGACATGAGAACAAGGTGCACGTTGCAGATGCACAGACAAACAGGAAAATACCTGTTGATCATTGTATCAGAGCTGCAAGGTGCATGATACCTGCCTGCAGTTCGTAGATGCAGCTAAAGATCTAATCCGTCAGCTGAAGACATTCTAAGTAGGCCTTAAACAAGTGGAGAAGTTTGCTGTGTGCTGTCTTGCAGAAAGATGCATTCATTCTGCTAGACTTCTGAAAAAAACATACTTGTTTCTGGTGAAAACTGCTTCTGCAAATCCTTGTGATAACGCTGTTAAAATGCCGTCCTGTTCAACTCTCTGTTCACAGTAGAAGTAACAAGTAACAGGAACAGCAAGACAAATGAATAGGGAGTTTTGGGGAAGGAATCTTTTTTTTTTTTTTTTCTCCACACACTGATGTGGCCATCCTTTTACGCAGACAGAAAAAATTGACAAGTAGCTTTTTTTTTGTCTCCAGCAAGCATAGCCTCCCATCGTAGAGGCCACTGCAGCTTTGAGAAATGATTGCTTTATCTTTCCTTTAAACACTGTTGGGCTTTTTCCTCTTTTATTCTTTTCATTCCACAAATCCCTAGTTATTGGATGTTTAAGTGTGTGAGGCTAGTGTATTTTTCAATTTATGTATCTGGATTTTGTAAAATGAGCATATATTCAACATTTCAGAAAGTCTGTTTTCTTCGCTGTCTTGTCTGTAATAATTTCTCAAGCATGAAGCATGGCAACAGTAGCTCTCTGGAGATTTCCTCTGAGGAAACTCTTATGTATAATGTTGCCCCAGACATAAACAAATCTGTTTCCTGTGTGTAACATTGGGTGGCAGCAAATGCTCTATATGACTTCAAAATGAAGTTCAAAATTGTATTTTTCATATTTCCAATAAGAAAATAGCATGTTAAAACTCAGAAAAGCAGTGTTACTTTGGTAACTTTTGGTAAACCACTGAATTTATGGCAAAACTATTAATCATCATCATCACTAATTATCATTGTGGAGGACATAAATTATAGCTGTTGTCATCTAAGAATTTTATCTTTGGAAAAAAATGCTCAAGAGAGAAGCTTTCTATCAGATATGTAGGAGATGGCATTAATTAATAGTATTAAATTGTGAAAAGACATGTCTTAAGTGTGTTCCTTCCTTTGCTCAAGGCTCTTAAGTTCTCTTTTATCCTCTGAATGAAGGTTGTGTAGTGTCACACACCTAGAACCCTCATTTCCTTGCACTTACATGCTTCTAATTTATGTTTGTGAACATTAAGCAATATTAATATAATGCAGTAAATACTTCTTTTCAAATGTACATTTATTTAGAGTTCTAGAAGCTGGAAAGGCAACCATATGTTCATCTGAAAATGCAGGGAGAGATATTACTCATATATTCATCAATAATAAAAGTTTTCCTACAAAAAAACATCTCTTCGAAGCTCAGTATTACCCTGTGCAGTATGTAGGAGATTACCTTTTTGAGGTAAGTTAAAGAATATACATAAAATTAATTTTTCGTCACCCTTCCTGATTAATATACAGCATTAATGATTGAAAATAACACAGTCAACCTGGATGATTTCTTTAGTTGATTTAGTTAAAAATAAAACAGCTTTCTAATAGAAAAAAATGTCTCTCCTAATGTAATATTTTGACTGAGACCAGTAGATACAACATCAAGGAAGAATACCTTCTTTACTTTCTTCTTCATCTTTGTGCTCATCCTTGGTTTTTGTTCACTTTCGTTTTTTGTTTTTTTTTTAATCTTCTACAACTTTATAAGCTGTATTCTTGCTGACTGGTATAAAGGATGGTATAAAAAGAGATTTAAATCTCTATATTCCATTTATGACTGCAGAAAACTGCATGGCTGTTTTGCAGTTGGTCAGTGCTTTACTTGCAGCGTTACAGCTTGAGACATTTCTGGTGTCTCAAAACCAATTCTGATGAAAGAATCTGATACACTTCAGTAAGGACAACCTGCCCATATTTTATGCTAGCAAGTGACTAGAACCTCATTCCAGTCAACTGTAAAGATTTCTTTGTGGGAATATACTTGTCATAGCATGTATCAGTTGTTCATAAACTTGTGCACCAAACAACCGCTTTGTGGACTGACTAGAAGCTTATGCAACATACACAAGTTCCACTGAATTCTAAACCAGACAGCCTTTGTTCTTAACATAATCTGTGTTGACTTCCCATATACCCTCAGTATTTCCAACTCTTCTGATTGTTTTGTGGAAATCAAAAAAAAAAAAGATCGTTTTTCAGACCACATTTGTGATGCAGTGGAAGGTATCTTTCCTTTGTGGCTACTAGGAGTTATAGCTGACCAAGCAGGAGAATTGGATGTACTATTCACATTTGTGATGCAGTGGAAGAATCGGATGTACTATTCAGACTTCTGCATTTAATGATAATCTTCAGAGCATTTTGACCTGGAAATACTCAAAGCACTTGGGAGATTTGTTTAGACTGTGAACTCTTAGGCTACAGGATGACTTTATGGTCAGCTGCTAAATAGAAAATGTTACTATTGTGATCAAGCAGGAATTAAAGCTGGGTTTATACTAGGAGTAACGTAACTTGAAATTCTTTGTGTTTTCCGGATCCAGAGTGCAGAGGAAATTTACCTCTGCATTTTAATGATCAGTAAAGCTGCTATGAAAAGGTTAAAGGGGGTATTGAAAGGTTTTAGTGTTTTCATCCTGAATTAATACACATCAACATGAGATCTCAGCCTAGTACTTATTCTTTTAATGAAAAATCTTGGCTTTCTCCAAGAAGTACTTGGCATATATTTCATTAGGACATAACTGAGAATGTTTCAACTTTGTAAATCTGTACATTGCTTCGCATTTGTTTTTCAATATCTATCATGTAATTTCAAACTCCTAACTTCCAAAGTTAAAATACTGTGAAAGATGGTTATTAATGACCTTGACCTGTAAGTTGTTAAAGCATATGCATGACTTCAGGGAGTTATTCTAAAATTTAACACAGACTTCAAATGCTTTTTTGAATACATGCTGGAGTTTATAACGTTTTGGCAAGATGGTACTGGGAACCTCTATATTGTTTAAATGTCAGTGTTTTTAGAAGGATATTGAAGAGCCACAAGAAGTAAAGACTACTTAATGCCTCAGAGTAGAACTTATGTCCTACTTCAGTAGGAGTTTAGTCATCCTTGGCTCATCAAAAGCTACCTAGAGCTCTTCTCAAATTACCTAAAGCATTTATTACATTTCTGTAATATGCAACAAACGTTATTTGTTTAAAAACGTATAATTACCCATATGGCAAATACTTTTGTTTTGATTGCACACTTAAGGAAACATCTGAGAATAGAATGAAATACATGCAGCTTTTGAAGCTTTCCACTGAAAATCTCTTAAAGAGTATAAAATGAAGCTTACTTCTCAGTACAACACCACTGTGCTTATTTCCTACTGTTGTTTTCCATGTAGTACTTAGCTTCCCCCTTTGGACTTACGTGCTTGAAGCAGAATAGACAAGAGCCTCCCCAAGCAAATTTATTTCCCTGTAGTTATGAAAAGTCCTTCCACACTTGCTCGAAGTAAGAAAATGGCCATTAGCACAGTGATTAAGCAGAATGCTTCAGCAGTTTCTACAGTCTTGTCCATCCTTCTCTACAACAAATGAAATGATTTAATTGTCGTGCCTTTTATGAAATGAGAGTCTGGTCTTGGTTAAATTAATGAAAAACTGTATTTTAAAAAATCCTTACTATACTTTCTTACGATTGAAAATGTGCAGTATTGGGTTTAGCTTTTCTAAAAGTCTAAAGAACATACATATTATGAAAACTCATCTTGCATTTCAGTCAGAGATTGGGCCAGGTTTGGAGGCAATTAGAGAAATAATTTTGGGGAAGCTCGTAAGGAGGATGCCCATGCTATAACTATCCACAACATTGATGATTTGTTTCCACAGCTGTTTTATCTGGCATGTAATGTCATCTCCTGAAAAATACATAAGCATGCATGTGCACACTTAGTTAACAGTGTACTGAGTTAACAACAGGATATATGCAAAGACTTCAGCACACAAAGTCATTTTGGAGCATTAGTTCTCTATGCCATTTGAAATTAAAAAATAATGTTTTATTTTGTTCTTTTTTTTTGCTTTTCGTAGAAAGAAATACAAACTGCTGAAGTTATCCAAATGAATCATTTCCTAGCTGCACAGGAGACCAAACAAATCATTCCTAACACGCAGCTTGTTGAAATGAAAAATGCTGTGATAAAACATATGTATTTTGCTCAGGTAGGTAACAATTAGTTACACTTTCTTAGCATAAAATATAAAATACTTACAATTTATCTTAAAATGTAGATACTAGATATTTTAACATTTTTTTAAATTCAAATGCCTTCTAGCCTGCAGTGTTTAATAATACCCTGTTGGGATAGGCATGGACATGACATGATGGACTGCTTGAAATTTCAGTGTAATATATCTAATAATTGCTAGTCTTGTCCAACAAAATGGTTTATCAGATTATAGTCTTTCAATGACTTGTCTGTTATCTACTTAAATTACACTAACAAGTTATACAAACCAAGCATATCCTAGAGCAAGCAAACTTTTTGTTGATTTTTAAAAAATTATTATTACACATAAAAATAAAGCTAAACGCAGTCTTTCATTTTAATGTTGACACTGTCTCTGATCATGGTCAACACAGTACATTAACAATTTTAACCATTATTTCCTATCTGCAAAGAGAACAGTTAATTGCTTGGAGTTGCGCTACTTAGCAGATGATTGTTTTTCCCTCAAACTATTATGTGGATATGAGCAGGAGAATCATAATCCTGAGGACAAACTCTCCCAAAAGACTTTTTGATAAAACATATTAATACGATCATAACACTAGGCTGTACCTAAAGGTACCTATATTAGTAATAACATTTTTTTGCATCTGTTGCCGTATCTTCAGGTCTTAGTCAACTTGCCAGATGAATCCAAAATTTATATTTTGTCACAGAAAAAATGGAAAGAATAAAAACACATTTATCTGAGAGGACAAAAATTAATAAAATTGTTGTTATGCTGTAACAACTGCTTAAACAAGGGGCAAAGAAAAGAATAACAGGAAAACTAAAGAGGAGAAAAATTGCCTATATTATTTTCCTTTTAGGCCACTAGTTCTCTGTTTTATTATTTTGTGATCTAAATATTGAAAAGGAAAATGTAAATAGACTGTTATGTAGATTTGTTTGCTCAAGTCATGCTTATAAATTAACATTCTTTTTTTAATACAATGTTTATAGAATATGTCTGTTCGTACGCCATGTACAGTTTGACTTTACCCTGTTTTACAGGCTGTTAAACATAAGTCTACCCAAATAGACCAGCTGAATGAACACAATCCAGAGGTAAGGATTCTTGGAGAGAGAGCATGTTGTGTACAAGGAATTTTATCCTGAAGTTAAACAAACACACCCTTAGTTTGAAATTAACTATCAATCAAATAAACATTAAAAATATTTAGATTATGCCATCAAACTACTAAAATTATTGAAGAGATAAATAGAACTTCACTGGAATACTGGGTATATGTCAAGATTTGGTCTTTCTCACAGTGCTTTCAATACTGTACTATTTAGCTTGAAAAAATTTTTAATACTACTGCTTAGCAGATCTTTACCTGATACTGTAGAAGAAAAAGAAACAATTACGGCCTGATATGCTTTACAGCATCTGAAATTATTCAAGCACTGTATTTTTTGCAGTGGCAACAAAGGAGAATTGTGTATTGCTTCTTGCAATACTCATGCATTTTTGCTTTTACTTTTAGCTAAGATTGTTTCAGTGTAGAAAAAAACAGTAATTGTTCTTACAACTTAAACTTCTTACAACTTAAAGCCTAAGCTTTAAATATCATCAGGCAGGCTAGGGAATGCACTGAAGCAAGTATATTTTCCAGTCCTTTCTTGTGGTTGCTTTGATTTAGTTTAATTTTTCTAAAGCATTTAGTTCATTTCTCATTTTTTGTGCCATTAAGCCAGTTAGTTATATGGTCTGACTCAGTTATAGGCCAATAACAATTCTTTGTAAGGAAACCAAGTTCCTAAAGCTGAAAAGGAGCTCATTCTCTGAGAGACCCTCATTCCCTGAAGGCTTCAGCCAAGCCAAGTAGCCAAGCCAAGCCAATAGCCAAGTAGCTGGATTTCAAGCAGAAGTTACCAGGCACTACGCTCTAGTAGTGGTGTGGTTGGAACTGGCTTGCACCTCTTGGCTTTAGCTTGACCTTGGACTGGAGGGGAGAGGTGAATAGCAGTGTAGTTGAGAAGAACATCAGCACTAGCACCTCTTGCATACCGGTAATCTACAGAAAGGTTTGGAAAGCTGAAATTACAGACGGTAATAGGGAAATTGCAGGACAGATCTAGCATTTTCTTAAACCTGATAGATCCTTACGGGTCCTCTGATAGCCTAAATGTTAAGTTAAATGTTTTGCTGTCATGAATGGCAGAGAATAAGAGGGGAGCTCTGTGCTATTAAGAAACTCTTTAGAGCTTTGAAATACACTGGGATCAATACCTCTCCTACTGTAGCATTAGCAGGTGCTGTGATATCCTATACAGGAATAAGCGTGCTAGGGAGATAAAGCAGTTATATGGTTTATAGATCTCTTACCAACATCTTATAAATGTCATAGGTTTTATTTGTATTCTGTTGTATAAAACTGTGCTCTTGCTTACAAAAGTATTTTATTTTTTAGGTTAAAAACACTGACCTGTCTAGAGGTTCACTTTGTGTACTTGAAGGACTGGTAGAAGAGTATTTCTTTCCTGATGTAATCAGTGAACTTGCAGCTAGCCAGCAGTACTGTATACCACCTGTGCAACTTCTTCATTCACTTCTAGAACATGTGTTGTTGGTGAGATCTGCAGGCTTAACTGCTACAAACATTGAACTAGGAAATAGAAATAGTATAATCTTTGCTATTAGCAGTGTGTTTACTGATTCTTTTCAAGTATTAACCCTTAACTTCCTATTCACCAATGCATTAGTTTTAATGCTGCCTATTTTAAGGGGGAAAATAATATCTTTTCTATTATTTATAAGCCATAGGAATGTAGTGCGCTAAATATTATTAACGAGCCAGCCCAGAATTTCTGCTGCTTGGAGAACAGCAAATGTGTGAGACTTTTTTTTTCACCTAGTAGCTTCAATTCAATTCAAATTTTGTTCTAAGCAATGATACTGGAATACTACAGTAATGCAAGCTGCGCTTCTTTTTATTCTTTCTTATGGAAATTCTGTGTTCTAATGCTTTTAGTTTTGCATTAAATTGCACACACGTTAACTGATCACAATTAAATTTTGCCACTGGGATTATGAGGAATGAAGAAAACATATAAATTCTTAGTGATCATGGATCTCTGACTAATATGCAGCCAATATTATTTTCTTATTTTATTACAGGGAAACGCTGATGCAATATTTTCTGCTAAACTTTTTCACATTTTGTACCTTGTTCTCCAACTTGATCCTCCTTGGAAGTCTCCTTCTGTGTTAAGATATTATTTGGACCTTCTTCAGTGTCCTGTTTGTAAGAAAGGTACATGGTCCTTGATAGAGATGCTTGTAAGGTAAGAAAATTTAATGAGGATTAGATAAGTGCTATTTTACTACAAATTGAGGTAGGGGAGTTGGAGTTGGAGTTCAGTCACTTTTTCACCTGTATAAATAAGTTAACTGCACATGAAGGTGTAGCATTGCATGTGAGGTCTGGACCTTTCACTAGATGGTTTGGCTTAGCACACAGGTAGAGACGTTTATTGGAAAGGAAAAAGATTGCATTTGCTTCTTCTCTACTCCTTTGTTGTATAATATTTATTTTTGTTAAGATTTTCAGAAATTAGAATAATTTATATACTAGTTAAGGTGGGGAGGGGGTTGCACCTTTGGATCTATCTATATGTGTCTTTCTGCAGTTGTGAAACTTCTTTCAATTTTATCTTGCCAAACATGAAGCTTCATATTGCCATAAATTTACAGTCTTGTTCACTAAGTCTATTAAATTCTGTGTATCTACAAATATAAGACTCTGCATACATCAACTGTTAGGGTTGCTACCACATTCTTTGCTTTTTTTTTTTTCTGTTGTGGCTCTTCTGAATAGAAATTAATTCATATCACCTTACATAATATTTAAATACTCTAACAGTGACTACAAATACATGATTGCAAAAATGCTCTTTGTCTTGAAAGTCATTGGACTTGAATCATTGCGATTGAGTATTTAATCATTTTGATTAGGAACATGTCACAAGCCACTTGAATGGGAAATAATTTATCATATATATTAAGCTCTTAATAGAACTTTCTGGCAGGATATGAATACCCTGCAATTGTGTACCTGCAATTGTTTTCTTGCTTTTTTTTTTTTTTTTTTTGTAAATGTTCCTTTGAATAGTCAAAATTCCATTCAAAAATATATTCTGCACTTAACTTCAAAGTCATCTGCATCATGTAAGCAGTCATTCGATTTGCCTGAAAACTGTATCTTGTCAAACATTATCTGTGCGAAATGCTGTGTAAACTAAGGTTTACAGGAGTTACAACATAGTCCGTAGTACTGGAGTACCTTGTAATGACAGGAATTTTACAAAGCACTGTTAAATTTAGAAATTACACAGTAACTCATGGAAAGAAATTTAACAGCTAAATAATAAAGTTTACACTATTGCCAACATATGAATTTGGTCGAGACCAAAAAGGTCCCATTTCATACACATTATTATTTTTGCCTGAAGATTTGGCTTTAAAACCATATAAGTTTGTGTTTAAAATGATGAAGGTTGCTGTGGAGCAAGGTATTTATTTGTCAAAATTGTCAAAAGTAAAAACTACCTTTATTTTCTGGTAAATCAGCATATCATTTTAATCATACAAATAGATTTTTTTGGTGTGTGTTTTTTTTTCAGGTCCTGCCTTTATTCCAAAACCATTTGTCATGCTGTCTCAGTTTCAGAAAAAATAGATGAACAGAGGGTAGTTCACAAAACATTATTGAAGTTTTTCTTGGATTTAGTAAAAGCTGAAGTAGAGTTTCTGACAGTAAGGTGGGTTTTATAGGATAATTCTTTCTTATTACTTTCCACAATTTCACATGCACTTCTGTATCTGCAGCAGGTTTTATCCCTATTTTAATGTCCCTACGGTTCTCACAAGCATGTGTTTGCTTAGAAATTCTTTCTGTATTTCTTAATTTTCAGTTTGCTTACTGCAATTTGTATTTTTTTTTCCTAATTGTGTGTTAAGGTCTCTAACTTTTCATAACCTAGTATTTCATTATAATACAGGCTTCAGTAGACATTTAATTTTTCTCATAAAGTTGCATTTTTGACTTTACAATATTTCAGTTTTCATTTTAGACAGAGGAGTTTGAACCTACAGATTTTTTTTTTTAAAAAAGAGTTAAATGTTATCTTTTACTAGGCAGATAATTATCTCTAGTTTATGAAATATAAAAAACTTGGTTTTGCTCTGTCTGTACTTTATATAATATTAGCACAATATTAGAATTCCTACAGTTCGACGGTAATAGTCATCATTATTGTACTTATTATTCCTCAGAAATTGTGTCTGATCTTTCTATACTTAAAATTGCCAAACCTTTGTGTGTTTTGACAGAAGACAAGGTTCCTGTCTAGTAACTATAGTAATCAAAGTGACACGAAGATTCAGGCTTTTTCACACTCTTATTTTACAGGTTGTTTGAAGGGGCCAATTCACAGCATCATCAAATCATGCCACAGACAGTTCTTCTGAAGACCTTTTGGCTGGCAAGCGAAACCTCGGTGCTTTTTACCAAACACATAAATATTTTATCAGATTGGGTCATACTTTCCCATAAAGAAATGAATAGAACAAATGATGTGAGTATGAATTTTATGCTATAAAATAATGAAGACGAACATATTTTTTAAAAGGTGTCCCTTTGTTCGTTTCTTTGTGAGGTGTTATATGTAAGTACTGCAGCTGCTTGTTATATCTGCCTTTTGTTGTGAAGCATGCTGGGTTTTGCTCCACTAAAGGAAATGAATTGATACATAAGATTCTCATATTGATCTACAGAGAAGAAACGAATTGGAGTCACGAGTAGCTTGGTGGCTACATTCAGATGTTCACATGCCCTTACCAGCAGGTGTTACTGTAGTCATTAGGGACACAAGTTTAACACATCTTGTCGAACAATAAGGTGTAACAGATGATTATCTTACTTTACAATGATTGGATTCAGTAAATGTTGGAAAGAGAAAGCTCGCAGAACAGTTTTTGTTGTTTTCTACAGCTATACATAATTTTATTTTAGTAAATGCCCTAGTTTTCTTCCCAAGTCTTCTAGTTTCGCTTGTTATCTTCCCTATATCTTTTCATAAAAATGGAATTGAAGGCAACTTAATTGCTGTTCTGTAACCTGCTGACCAGCAGGACATTGACCTGAAAGATACCCAGGGTCCTCTATACCACCTCTTTCTTTTCAGAAACTAGAGGCCTTCTAAAACATCTTTGACTTCTAGATTCTCACATAAATCACAAACTTACTGCTGTTTCTCCTTTCTCTTTTAAATTATTGTGAAAGCACAGAATAAATAGGTACCTCATTCACTTTTTCAACACAGTAGCAGAACAACAATAGAAAATCGAGTATTCCCAAGAAAAAAGCACTTTCCGTATAATAGTAGTTCTTCATTGTGTTAAGAAAGCAGAAAGATTAAACATAGTGACAGCTTCACTCATTTTACCTAGCCAGACCTCCTACCTTTTTTGAGGTGTATCAAAGGAAGCCATACTGAAACAGTGCTGCCTTTTTATCCTTGGTCAAGATATTAAAAAAGCACCTAAAATTAGGCTTCTAAACCAATATTTATATTTAAACAACCTACCATTTCAGAGGTACTGAGCACCAAACAGGCTTATATTCAGTTGATTTCCATGGCCATTCTGCTTCTTTGGAAAATGAGACTGCTTTCATGTGTTTCCTGATGTTGAGTCTGCAGTTTGAATTTAGGCACCATTTTATTTTTTTTTTATCATGCCTTCTTTTGACAAGTTCCAGCACTGTCGACCATACTTGTTTCATGAACTGCTCTTTGCATAAGCAGAATAATTGCTTGTGGCAGTCACAGCACAAAGTATATGAAAAACTTTAAGAAAAATAAAACACAGCATGAAGTATGCAGAAACTTACCTCACCTTTAGAATTTACATGTATATATATACATAAAATAAATATATATCTGTGTCTATACGTACATACCTGTGTGTAAATATACATATATATGTATAAAAATTGTCCCTTCAGCATAAACTCTAGATTCTTATTGCTTTTCTGGTTTCCTCTTACATGCTGTAATGTATAATATCCTCACAGGCATGACTCCTGGCCTTAAAATAGAGCTGTCTGATAATATCTGTTATTTTGTACAGTCTTTCTTACAGCCTTATTCTTTAGCTTCATATTTATATATTACAATTTTTGGCAAAAGTAAATTCTGAAATGAAATACCATTTAGAGATACATAAGTAAAAACAGAATATTTCCATGCCATTAAGTATAGCAAATTGGATACAATTTTTCCTTCCTTTCTTCAATTTAAGTTTATGATGAATTGTTACCAATTTTGCTGTTTAAAAGCAGTTTGCTTATGAAGCAGTACATTGACAATATGCACATAGTGCCTCTCAGAAACCCATTTAAAGGAGCTACTCGGCCATTCCCACTGTCTGTATAGGGACAGAATTAAAGCATCTGGTGGTAGCAGCGTGTGAGGAGATGACTATGCCTCACAGCTTACAGAAGTTTAACCTGTTGGAAGAAAGAAACACCTTAAATGCTCTGTGAATAGAAATGGAAAAATAATTTCTTGAAACGCTTTTTCAGGCCTAACACATTCTTGTGTAAGTGATAAAAGTGAACAATTTTTATTTTAGCTATTTAGAATCAGATGTTTTCTCCTTTTCCATGAATAAAATAACATAAAATGATAAAAGGGTGCAAGACAGAAACAGCTGTAGTATACTAAGTTAGAAGCTCCATGGTGAAATGGTGAAATAGGTTGATTAGTTTTGCTGGCTTAAATGTCCGGGGGCTGTTTGTTTTCTTTCAGATCTATAATAACCTGTATCAAAAACAAAGAAAAAAGAAAGAATGATTAAATAGAAAGAAATAGTTATATATCTGGGCACATTTGCTTTCTTGTGCTATATATGATTTACTCTATTTTGAAAGTACCAGAATAAAGCTAGTGACAGGAAATTGGATGCTCTCAGTCCTCACTGTGTTGATCTAATAGGACAACTTAGTGGGGTAAAATTGATACCCAATCCTTGTAGTTAAAAATGTACTGCCAAAGGACGTGGTAGCTTTTCCATCACTTGAACTCTTTCAATCTGTTTCAAATATAATTCTAAAATAAATGGTATATCTCAAAAGTAAATAATAGATTTGATACGAAACTCCTCATCAAGGTTCCTTGCATGAAAGCTCTTAATTGAAATTTAGATGCACAAAGGAACAAACAGGGTTTTTTTTTGTAATAGTGGGAATAGCATTCAGTTACCAAATGGCTTTTCGTAATGATACTATGTCCCCGAGTAGCAAGTAGCAGTATTTGTCATCCCAATAATACTGTTTAATGTTTAATGATGCTCATGATGTAATAAGAGCAACCTTGCATAGCATTAGGAAGGGGAGAGAAAGAGAATCCTTTCATTTTATGTTTGAAGCTTTCTTGCAAGCACTGGAGGAATACTGCATTGTCCTAAAAGCATTGTTTATGCCATGATGTCCCCGAGTAGCAAGTAGCAGTATTTGTCATCCCAATAATACTGTTTAATGTTTAATGATGCTCATGATGTAATAAGAGCAACCTTGCATAGCATTAGGAAGGGGAGAGAAAGAGAATCCTTTCATTTTATGTTTGAAGCTTTCTTGCAAGCACTGGAGGAATACTGCATTGTCCTAAAAGCATTGTTTTTGCCATGTGAAAAAAAAAAAAAAAAACAGTTCTGTAAGGTGTGTACTGTAATTCAAACCCGGAAAGTTAAAATGAACTTTTTTGCAAGTTAAATGCTTTCTTGGGAGAGCTTTTACATGCAGTAAAACAGGGTATGAAACTTCTATCACTGGAGTGCTGTACTTGAAGAAAAAAAAAAAAAAAGAAATGGCAATCTAGGAATTGCGTTTGCTGAGCTAGCAGAGATCAGTTGTACTGCTACGACTCTTGCATGGTAGCACAGCCTCCACTCACTTCAGTGCTTTTTTTTCTGTGAGATGATAGTTTTGATTCTCAACAATAAGAACAAGAAAGAGATTTTGAAAAAAAAAAGTGGTAAATTGGACCACTGGTGGTAAATTTGTTATGATTGAATATTCTTTGAAAAAATAATTCTGCATGATTTATTTTTTCCTAATGCATGAAGGAGTACATTTTATAGTAATACAGTGTTCTTTACGAATTTTAAAAATGCATTATGGGGAAAAGGGGGAGGAGGAGAATTGAATGATTTCTTAATATAGCTGCAAGAATCATGTTGAACTTTGCTGTCTTATAAAGAAACAATCTGTTAAAACTTTATTAGCTTCATACCATGTTTGAGTAAAAATTAGTTATAGTAGTAAACCTTAGGGACAAAATCAGTAGTTTCTGAATATTCTCAATTTTAGTTGATTGAAGTATCACATATCAGTGACTAATAGTCTGACAATTTATCTAAATAGCAGTGTAAACAAAAACCTCTCTCTCTTTTTAAAAAGGTTTTTACTTAATCTGAAATTGCATCTGTTAATAAAATAGCAACTCATGTCATTTATATGAGTAATTTATTATTTCATATCCAGGAATAAAAGGATTGGTTTTATATGTGTACAAATAATAAATTAGCTCTTGTAAGTTGTTTTATTAGTGATTGACATTCACAGATCACTTAGCCTTATAAGACTTTATTTTTAAAATCTAAAAAATGACTAATTTTTTTTACTTGTTGATATTTTTCATTTTCTTTTGGTCTGTAGTTAAAGGTACTAATTAAATTTCAAAAGAAAATACAGCTGTAAAACAGAAAGCAGTAGAGTTGAAAAAACAGAGGAGTTTTCTTTTAAAGTTTTAACCCCTTTAGTTGAATAGCGGGAGCTATTTATGTGCATAGTGTTGTTTTGTCAGACATGGTAGCAATTCCCATGCTCAATGGAAAAGTTTTCTTTGTTTTCCTTTTCATTCCTATGTTTCTATTACTTTGTGTTTGAAAAAAAAAGATATGTTAATATTTTTAAGATAGATAACGCTTTCCATAAATTGGAGCATTTTCCCTGGAGAGTAACACTGAGTCATTTATTTCATGATATTATTAAGGAGAAGCTCTTGTTTATACTGCTGTTGTTTCAGCATAATGTCAGCCGGCTAAGCCTACGCCAGTTGGCATTATCTGGGCTCTCCTTGTCACTGCATAGAGACGGGCAGCTGTGCAGACATCGTTACAGCTTGGGTATCAGCCAGATTTGGGCTGCAACTGTATTTCTGACTTTGTGGAATGTCATTAGTGTATTAGCAGTAGTTATTTCAAACTAATCCCTCAAGATCGGGGTTTTTGTTTTTCTCTCCTTCCTTGTATCTGATGGCATAGATCAAATAAGACAATCTAGTGCTTGAAGAGCAAGCAAGAAAAGCTTAATAGGTGGCCTGCACATATATATATACCTCAGAACATCAGTATCTACCTGAAACTATATACATTTGACCTTGATCTTGTCACTTATCTCTGTTAAAATTCTGATTTGCTGCATTTATATAAATTACTTACTTTGAAGAACTGTTGATGAGGTGATTCACCAATGTTTTGCCATGGGTTCCAATAATAAAGGAGGCATGCATACTTCAAGACATTTAAATGCATTTTAAATTGTGTCTTTACTTTCTATTCCTGAATCTTCAGGAAGTAAGCAGTAATACATATGTTTAAGTACTTAAATACTACCTGAAAAATGGATTTAAATATTACTGAGCTGTCATACCAAGTTTCTAAGTCGAGATCGCACAGTTCATCTGAAGTGAATTATTTGTATATAGCAAAGAGAGAGGCAAACCAAATCATTAAGTAATCAAACAGAATATGAGGAAGCATGGCTGCCAGGGATCTTAAACATCACCTAGGCTCTTCAGTGAGACCTTCCTACCAGATGTCTGTCCAACCATTTCTTAAAACCCCTCCATGATGGAGACTCCACAATCTCTACAGGCAAGCTCTTGTCAGTGCCCTTATTCCTTTGCTTTTGAGTGACAAGCAAGTCTATTGCTACTGTTAAGTAGCTGTTAATGGACACTAGTTATGTAGGCTTTCCACAAATGGTTTTGTGGTCTTTCTACTATGCCATAGTCTTTCTGTTCCTCTTACATATGTCTATTCGATTTATTGATGAAACTCAAACTGAAAACACTTCACAGTCAGTGGTGCTTCTCAGCTCCTGAGGGAATCCTATTACATTATTTTAAACTGATCTTTGAACATATTTTGGTCTCAAAGGAATATCAGAAAAATAATTCATTGTGGTATTACAGCACAATAAAACACAGAACAGTTCTGTTTCCTTTAAGGAATTCTTTAAAATCTCAAATAGAAAAGTAAGTACTTACTTGTTTGTCTCTTGTCCAAAATTTTCCATTGTCCAATATGCCTGGGCATACATTCTCTTATACAGGAACATGTGTAGCAAGATTTAGCAGTGTAGAAGCTCTGTATCTCAGCGATGACCTACCTTAGGTGGATTGCTTTTGGCAACTGAATTCTGTGTATTGCCACTGTGCATGCACATATTCTCCCAGGTTATACTTCTTTCACAGTTGCACACGTTGTGACTTTGCTGCATGGTCAGAGGAGTAACTCATTTCAGAATCATTGCATAGAGGGTTTCAGCATGGCCCACTGAAGTGTTGTGTGGAGAGATTTGACTTACCTTTGGATCAGCTATTCCCGGCTCTTGCAGTGGTGCTCTACCCAGCCAATATTAAGTGTTTCCAAATAATTTTTATTTCTCCAATGAGAAGTCTTGGTTGTTGTGGCATCAGTAGCATATCAGTTTTACGATCAGGATGCAACAGTTGGCTCTTGAGCAGGAAAACAAACAAACAAAAAAACAGTGAAGAAATGATTTGGCAATTGATGGGGTTTTGTCTATAGATATTTTTTAATATTATTGATAAGATACCATCAATGTAGATTTGTTATATAACACCAGTCCATAAATGCTCTTTTTTTCTTCCTTTTAGACTTTCAGATGTGAAATAGCTAATATATTAAATGCAGTTCTTGGAACTGCAGTGGAATACTGGATCCTCTCAGGTTTCCTTATGGACAGAAATGTCTTTTCTCAAGTAGCTGATTTGGCACATTACATCGACATTTCGTGTGATGGTGAGTGTTTGAAAAGCATCTCAAAATCTTTTAATCAGATTCAGTAAAGTCCTAACTAAAGTCCTTTACTTATATAAGTCATATCTTATCTTCCATTGTAGCCCTGGAGTCTCATAGAGTGATGTGCATTCATCCATGGAACCGTGATTTATGTTCTGTGTATGTGTGTGCATCTGTCTCAAGGAAATCCCAAGTAGACCAAGTATTCCTTTTAACATTCAGCCAAACAAATCTTGATAGGCTTTAACATGAAATCAAGATTACACTGTGTGAAAAAGAAATACAAGTTCCATGGAGCTCAGTAGGCAGTTTAGGAAGAGACTTAGGCAATAACTTAAGAGAGAAATCTGGAGACACCTTAGCTAATAAAGCCAGTTCTTTGATGAGACTTTAGCTTTTCACTCAACAAAGTCACTTGTTAACTTCACTTCAGCACTAAGTCCAAAAGTTAACCTCAACTCTTTAACACACACAGACTTCAAATGGAAACACATCAGGATCACATTTCAAATCCTTAAATTACTAGCCAAATAATATGGGTAGAAGGCATGAGAGGGAGAGTGAAATGAGTATTGCATCACTATTCCTCTTGTTCATTAAATAAGCTAGGTACAGAAGGGAGCCACAACCCACCATGGAGCTTCTGTTGGGATATCTGTTCTTTCAGCAGCTAGGAGAAGAAACTAAAAAGACCAAAAAATATCCTCAAGAAAAACATTAAATGGTTTTTATTTTGTTTTCAAACTTCTTTTCCACCAAAACTGCTTTTTTATAAATATATCTATCTAAATATTGCAAAATAGAGGGAGGACTGTGATTCAGTTATTACACCTTTATGAGTATCTTGATTTCAATCATCATTTTCTCTAGAGACAGGTGCGGGCTTCATGTAAAGAGATGGTGGCCTCACTTACCTGGAAAAATTGACAAGAACTGTTTTTAAAACATGAAACTAAAATCTTAGTCTCTAGACAAATAGTTGTACTCCAGTCTTACAAAAAGAAAATGATCTGAAACCTCATCTTCTGTCTTTGATTTTAAAAGACTTGGAACTTGGGACTGAATATAGCTGAATTACAGCTGAATGGAACCTTTAGTATCCATAACTATTGCAACCTCTCCAAAGGATTTTCTAGCTTTAAAAAAGTAGGGAAAATCCTCTGTATATATGTATATGTAGTAAGACTTTCTTAGTTGCCTGTCCAGGGATGGAAAATGATACTCTTTATGCTATCCTTCAGCTATTCAGAGCATTCACAAGAATAACGATCGTAGTCTGGCTATAAAGAATAAAGATTCTTTGACTTGCTGATGATCACTACCACTTAGTTCTGCACTTAAAGCCCCTAAAACTATCGCAAAATTCTTCTAAGATTCTGCTGAGCTTACAGGAGAAACTATCTGTACTTTTAAATCTTGTTCTTCTCTTTGAATTGAGTCTGTAGATCAGTTACGGAGGGAGCATTTCTCAACCCAAAAAAATAGTCCCTCAATATAGTAACGACTTTCCTCATCTTGGCAGACCTTGCTTTCCAGTGACTATTTTGACAAAATTCTTTTGCTAAAATCAAAATAAAAAGCTCAGCCTAAGACAAAACATCCATTCTGTCTCCTTTTAAAAAAAATATGCCAGACATTAACCTGATGTGGACCCACTATTGTCCATTGTGTGTGTTTTTTTCTTTTTGTAACATTTTTTGAAGTAATTCAAAATTCAGAAAGGTGTTGTAATCTGCTTAAGACGTGATTACAGATAGAATTTATAGATTACCTTGCATGACACCAATTTCTTTGTTCACATTACATAAGTCTTATCTGAATTGTACTTGCATTGCTTCAATTAATTTTAAAGATGATCTCTCATGTAACTTCCCCCCCAAATAATTTCATTTTCAAAATCATGGTGAAACATTTATATGATTGTATTTAGAGCATTTTAGAAAATTCATTAATATGAGCAGTGTTTTGCCTTTTAAAAAATTGATGCTCGTTTGTTCAGAAACTGGACTCATTACAAGATGATGGCATATTCCAATTTTAAGGCTTTTTTTTCCCCTTTATTTTTATCCAGACTTTTCAGTACGTGAATTAAAAGCATTCATTTGTTCCATACCATCTCTCTGGCTTCAAATGTTTGTTGTGGAAGCAGTTTTTAAAAAAATATGTTTACAGAGGAATATACCTATTTCTACAGAACCTCTCTCTCTTCAGAAAATAGTAAGTAACTCTTGCACTCCTAAATAATCTAGCACTCTTAAGTATGCAACAAGTAGTAGATTCATGAATGAATAATAAAAAACATCTCATTTTGTGATGGTTTAAGGTCACATTCATTGCATACATCTTATTCCACTAAATTGTTTTACAGAAGATCAGGGTTCAAAACAATGGTAATTTTTTCCTGCCAAATGATCTGTAATACCACTATGAATTAATCAGTTTACATGCAAATAATATGAAAAGTCACAGTGCAAAAATAATAGTCACTGATGTGAATACTTTATTGCAATACTACTTTTGTTAAGGAAAAATGCATTGTAATTACATCAGCAATTAAGAAAAAGCAAATTATTTACCTGATTTTTTCTTCAGATTTTTTGAAGGAGTTATTTTCTAGTATTCTGCTATGGTAGTTGATGAGGAAATACACATTACGAAAACTGTTAAAGAAATTCTCAAAAGCATCACTGCTGGCAGGAGGGAGACGTATCAGCAGTGACATGCCCTAAAATACAGTTGCATTTCAGCAATCCAAACCCCCATATATATGTGTAACCCCCACATGGAATCCATCACTCTTTCTCAAGGACATACAGTTCTACAGGTCAAAGCAATATAACTTTATACCTTCATATGTTTTTTAAGCAGAGATTTCCCCAAATTTTGTAGGAGCTTATTAAGAACAGAGATGATTCATTGTTTATCATACATGATGTTTAACCACAGCTTGAACAAAAGACTATCAAAAGTTTTAAAATAAAACTATACATCTAGCATTTAACGTGTCAACACATCCAGAGTAAAAATGGCTAATTTTAATATGGCCATCATGATCAATCAGTCTCCACCACAAATTGAATGATTTGGGTAACAATTGTCTTCTGCTCATTCCATACAGTAACTATCAACTGTGAATCCATTTTGCCACCTCTCCTCTCATAGCACTTTGTCAGCTCAGCTTTTCTATGGGTTCCCTAAGGTGCCCTTCTACTCTGCTGGGCACAACCAAGGGGTCACTCACCAGTTGCAAGTAGCTTGCAGGTTCTGGTATGTTAGGTACTCAAAGTCTTCTTCAAGTATCTTTCTTTAGACATGGTGACATGTAATCTGCTTTCACTTCTGGATAATCATTGAATGAGTCCCCTTTCTGAGCTATTTCTTGTGCTTTTGCCACACTGGAACAACTTGTGTGCTTTTTTAAAAAGAGAGGTATAAGTGGATTGGAGCCTCTGAATTGCTGGAAAGAAGCCAAGACATCTTTGCCATCCATCTGAGGTTATCCGAGCAGTGCGAGAGCACCTAAGAGAGAGCTTGTTAGCACCCAACTTGCTTGTTGTCTGCACCAGACCCACCGGCTTAGTCCAGCGCTCACTTTTAGGAGAGTGGCATTTCTTTGCCAAATTACTTGCTTGGAGTAGAAAAGCTGGTAAATATTTCCATTAACTACCTGAGAATCAATTAGCTTTGCTGTAGGACTGCAGCTGTCCAGATCAAAATTTTCTCAGCTGCCAAAAAATCCTGAGAGACCCAGGATTCTCGCTCAGACAGAGCCCCCTCACTTCTGAGGCCAGCAAGTGTGAAATACCAAGTAAGATACACTAAAACATCAATATGCAAAAGATGCAGAAGTTTGCATCAATATGCAAAAGTTGCAATCTATATATGTAAACATCATTAAGGGATCATATTTTTAAAAACTCAGATACAGCAAGCTATGAGTGGATGGTTTTATTACATAAAGTACAAGAGAAGAAACGACATTTTAACTTACCCTGCACATGGTCACTGATAATGTTACTTCTGCAACAGTTCTGTTCCTATTTGCCTGCTTTAGGAGAAATAGGTGCACGTGAGACAAGGAAGATCGTGAAAGCAAAGAGAAGGAAAATAGGGCAACGGCCGTGCCCCAAGTCTCAGAGGGCATTACTGATGCTAAATGGTGATAAGCAGAACCAAGTCGAAGTGCTGCCTGATCTACCGTGAGTAATACCTATAACATCACCAGTTTTATTCTGCTTTGGGGGACAGCTCCTGACCTGACACATTTTTTGAACTTTATGTGACCTGTTTTGTTGTCTATAAATTACCAAGACTGACAGAAAGCTCTACTATAAACCTGTAACACCTCTAGGCTGGGGTTCCCCCGTACCCTTCATCCTGCAGATATGTGGTCTGATATATTTTCCCAGTGTTAAATTTAATGGAGGCTTATGGATTTACCCTGAAAAGAGTTTAACTGTGGGAAATTTACTTTTATTAATGTTTTCAATACTGTTACAAGACTCAGCAATTACTTAAGACCTTTCAGAAATAGCTCTGAAATGCGTGGATCTAAGTATGACATATATACATGCTGTAACAATTTTCATTATATGTATATAAAAATATAATATATGGGTTTTAGACATGTGTCCACTTTGCTGTCTTTCCAGTGAGTGCCCTCCATTAGCAAAGAGGCTTCGAGCAAAAGCAGAGGTTTCACGAACCAAAGAGAATTGCCACCCTTTGGCTGAAGAGGTTCATCTTTACAAGACCAATATTAAAGGTATTCTATTTATCTAATTCACGTTAAGGACTTTCAGTGGGTCGAATCAACAGTTTCAGGTTTAGAAATCTCGTCCTTATGGATGCTGAGCTAAAATGACTGCCTAGTCGAGGAAATATTTCCCTCTGGTTCCTGTTTCTTCCTTCAGCATCTGTTTTAAAGGAGGAATCGTAGATACGGTGGGATAAAGCTGCCTTCCTCTCTGCCCTCCCCCCGAGCCAGCAAATACAGTGTGCAGCTTGGGCGAGCTCACTCCCGCCCTGCCCGTCTTACTTTGCTAATCCACCTCAACCTG